TATAACCAAGTCCATATAAAAAGAATAATCTATCATAGTCAGATTCATTTGAGTAAAATGTCTATGATTTTTAAAAAAAAAATCTCAGGGAACTCAGAATAGAATAAAATGCCATGAATTTGTTAAAGGGCATCTGTGAAAAATCTGCCAGCTGATATGATACAGAATGGTGAAAACAGAATGCTTTTCCTCTCCGATTAGGAGCAAGGTGACAGTGCCTGCCTTTGCCACTTCTATGCAACATTAAAATGAGATCCTGGCGTGCAATAGCAAGAGAAAAAGAATTGAAAGGCATACACACTGGAAAATAATATTTGTATGCCTTTATTCATAGATGACATAGATCAGATATATATATACATATATACACACACACAGAGAGAGAGAGAGAGAGAATAAATCTTGAGCAATCTGTATAAACTTGCTCAAAGTAAGAAAAAATACGTAATACAAGATCTAAGTAATATGTATTTATTGTTATGTGCTATTGAGTCTGAACCTTCTAGCAGGTTTTCAGAGGCAGTAAATCACCTAAGAGGAGATTGCTCATCTTTCTTCCGTGGAGGAGCTGGTGGATTTGAGCCTACATATGTATTTATATGCTTAACACTAGCAGCAGGGAGTTCTGGTGGCCTACTTGTAAGAAGCAGCTGTGTGGCAACCCCAAAAACACATGGATCAAATCCACCAGCTGCTCCATGGGAGAAAGATGGGCAGTCTCCTCCCATTCAATTAACTGCCTCTGAAAACCTGCTAGAGGGACCGTTCTGACTCAGCAGTACACAACAACAGTAACACTAACAAATGGAAAATGCCATTAAAAATAATACTCTTTGCAACGACATTAAAAACCTAAAAATTTGGTCATAAATTTACTGCAAGATATGTAAGAACATCTCTGCACTGAAAACTACAAACATTACTGAGAAATTGAAACTCAATATTCATTGCCATTGAGCTGGCATCCGTAGCTGACCCTCCCACAAGTTCCCAAGCCTGTAAATGCTGCAGAGGAGACAGCTCGAATTTCTTTCTCTCTCCTATTGCTGTTGGATTCCAATCCTTCGAGAGGCATGACCTTTGACGGGGCAGCTTCTTAGGAACGATGCCTCCCGAGCTCCCTGCTGAGAAATTAAAGAAGACCGAAATAATTACAAATGTTTGTGAAACGTAATAGTCAGTGTCATTAATGTGTCAGTTCTCCCCATATTGATCTATAAATTAACCCAATCCTAATTAAAATTCTAACAGGCTGTTTTATAGCAATTGACAAGCGTATTCTAAAGTTTATTTGGAAATGCCAAAGACCTACAATAGCCAAAGCTAATTCAATAAGAAGGATAAACTTATATCTTTAACTATAAAGTACCATATTTTACTATAGACACGAAGATCAATGAGACAGAATGAAGAGTTTAAAAATAGACTTGCATGTACACGGTGAATTGATTTTTGACAAAGACACTAAAGAAATTCAATGGGAAATGGGGATTCCTTTCAAGAAAACAGTGTAGAACAGGATATCTGTGAGAAAAACATGCTCTTTAATTTCATTTCTTATACAAAAAGCATTTGAGATGAATCATAAACTAAATACAATGTCATAACAATAGTGTTCCTAGAAGAAAATATAGGAATTGATTGTCACAGTTTTAAGAAAAACAAAGATTTCTTAGTCCCCAGAAAACACCAACCATAAAAAAAGATAATTTGAACTTCTTCAAAATGAAAAGCTTTTGGTTTTTTATGAAATTTTTTTGTTACTTGTGATTTTAATGGAAGTTTACAGAAAAGTTAGATTTTCATTCATTCATTGTTGCACATTTTTTACTTCCTCTCCCTCCCTACATCTCCCTCAGTTTACTTTTTTTGTTTTTTAAATATTCATTCATTTGTTGCATAATCACCTCCCTTTCCCTCTCCCCCGGTATATCGTAATATACCTCTTATTATGGGCTATTATCATACATATAATGCCTAATCATATATTCCTTCTAAACAGTTCTTTCCTTCATCTGTTCCACTGCCATATCCATTAACTATCCACTCTTACTCTATTCTCCTCCCAAATCCCCAAGCTTTTGTAGGGAGCTTTGATGACGTAGTGGTAAGGAACTAACTGCACTACCACCATAAAGGCAGGCAGTTCAAATCCACCAGGGCTCTGCAGGGGAATGGTGGGCAAAACAATAAGCATTTATGCATTAGAAGACACTTGAAACAAAAAGAATAGGTAGACCAGAGGCCTGGAGAAAATGTTTGTTCTAACAAAGGATATAAGAATACTTTTTTTTAAAATGTCCTAGAAAAATGAGTAAAAGACTTCAACAGAACAACCAAGGGTCCAGTAAGCCCCAGACAGAGTCATGAGGGAAATCAGGGAAGTGGAAACTTCAACCACAAGGAGCTGCAACTGTATACCCTGCAGAATGACTAAAATTAAAACGACTGACCCCAGCAAATAGTGTCAAGGATGTAAAGTAACTGGACCTGTAATAAATTTGTGGTAGTGTAAAATGATCTCGCGGTGCTGGTGAGCACCATCTAGTTGACTGCAACTCAGCCGCTCTCTGCGACCAAATACAGCTTCTCAGGAAGCTTCACAGGCTGGAATCTTAAGGGGAACAAGTCACCAGGCCTTTTCTCTGAAGGACTTGCTGTTGGGTTCAAACCACTGACCTTCTGGTTAGTACCTGAATGCTTGACTGCTGAATCACCAGGACTCCATGTGAAATGATATAAACTTGGAGTGATCCTAAGTCCAGCTCCTCTATCAGGTGTTAGCTGACAGAAATGAAAATACTTATCCACAGAAAAACCTGGCAAAGAATGTAAATATTAACTGTATTTAGCATCATTACAAAATGGAAAGAATTGAAAAATTACATGAAGTAAATCAATGGAATGTTAAGCATTGCAAAGGAATAGGCAGTTGTTATATACAGTAAAATAAATAAAATTGGTATCTTGAGGAACTGTTAGTTAGAATGTGTATGAAATCAACCTGTATGAAAATTTGGCCCTTTGTTTATTTAGACAGAAAGGAAAGAGTGGTGTTTTCAGAAGGGGCAGGTTAATGACTAGTTATGTCACTTTGTGCAAGTAACTTCTATGACCAGGTCACTTTGTATTTAAAATGAAAAGGTTGCATTATCTCTCTTCTGTCCGTCTCCTGCACAGTGGTGGCCTGCTTGTTGATGTGATGCTGGGAGCTGTAACACCAGTGTTTCCAGCCAGGCCATCCGTGGTGAACAGGTTTCAAGGAAGCTTCTAGACTTAGCTTAGGGAGTAGACCGAGCCATCCACTTATAAAATAATAGGCCCTCACTAGCCCTCAGAATATTAGCAAAGCATGGTTGATGGTAGTGCTAGAAGAGAGGCCCTCAGACTGGAAGGCGTCAGCATATTTCTGGGGAAGAGCTGCCTTCTCAGCAAAGAGCTGCCCTGATGACGCGGGTGGACAAAAGCCCTCACCTGATGAAGAGCCTTCCTGGGCTGGTGTGGCACAACCCAAAGTGAAGGGTGTCAGACAACACATTTAAGTCAAAATAAGAAGTAACAACTTCAAGTCAAATACATCTGGCTGCAGTCAAAGCTCACTGTGGTGAATGAGACATCTGCTATCAATTTAGGTTGACTCCTCCTTTGCACTGCCAGTGCTTTTAGCCTAAGCCCATGTAACCCAGTGACAGTAGATCTATGTTCATCTTCCTTTGTTCTTTGCTGGACTCGGCTCAGTGGCCTGCTCCAATGCTCACAAGATTGCAGCCACAAGTGTTTATACTTCTGGGACACCCACATACCTCCCTCCTTCCCTTGCCCTGCCACGCCTTGTGCCCATCCTGTAGAACCTACACCTTTTCTGTGCCTGTCCTCAAGGTCTAGCCCGAATACAGGAGCCTATCTTCTTTCCTCATTATTCCTATTCACTTGTTTCATTTATACAAGCTAGCTGAGTTGTTTAGACAGAGCGAGGCCTTAAAACCAAGGAGCAGTAGAAAACTCCTTTCCCCATAAAACCTACAATCTCTTAATTATCCACTAAGCTAAGAAATGGCCAGGCTACAAAGACAGCAAGCCCTGGGGTACACATTTGGAAGGTTGGTCACTGGATAGCCTGTGATCTCAGAAGACATTCCTGCCGATGACTTTCCTGTGCTAGTGTGAGGAAGTCACGCTCACATCAGCAAGGGGAATCCCAAACAAGCAGTCGGTGCCGAGCAGTGTTTGAGAAGGACCGAGGGAAGTGAAAACCAGGGCTGAGATTTAAACTGCAGAGGAATGGCTGTGAGTGTGCTGTAGAAGGCAAGAAAGCTTTTGAAGGGAGGAAATGAAAACTAACGATTGCCCCTCATTGGGCATGGTCGTTGGTTGCTGGCCCTGGCCTCCAGCGTCTGGTGGCTTCATGTGTGATAGGGATCGGTTCTGTGCCCCCTCCGTCACCCTTCCCCGGGATGCTGGAGCTCTTTGGGGCTCTTTGGTCAAGCCGTCTCACTGAAGATTTTTCACATTCTTGCTTTCCCAATATCATGGCCATGATTACTGTCCGTTTAAACCTGTTCTAAGAAACTGTCACGATAACAAAGAACTACATCCAGGGTTTCCAAAGCTGTAACCTGCACAGCTTCCATGAGTTGGAACCACCAGCATTTTTCTCCTGTGGGTTTGAACCACCAGTAATTCCATTTTGGCAGCTGAGCGCTTAACCGCTGTGCTATCAGGCTGCTTTCCACACACGCTACAGGTGAGCACAGTGTCGTGCTTGTCAGTATTAGACCGCTTGGTCAAATCAGGACTATCAGTGCAGAGTGTAATCCAAGTCAATGTGGGAGGGTCTCCTGGGACGTTTGATTCATGTTTACAGCTCTCAGGATTCTGCCCATGCTGTGTGTCTCTATTGTCTTGACAGTCAGAAGTTAGGGGGACATGACAATTCTCTCTGTGGCTTTGCACATCATAATAATATCTATACTTTTTTTTATTTCCCCCTCTACTGGCAGAATAACACCGATGGACTTCATGAACTTGCCTGTGGGGGCTTAATTTATTGTCTGGGAGTTGTGTTCTTCAAGAGCGACGGCATCATTCCATTTGCCCACGCCATCTGGCACCTGTTTGTGGCCACGGCCGCTGCGGTGCATTACTACGCCATTTGGAAATATCTGTACCGAAGTCCCACAGACTTTATGCGGCATTTATGATCAGTCTGTTCTAGGTCACCAAACCAGTATTATTTCAGTTATGGCACCTGGGAGTGGGGTAAGAGCTGACACTGCACGGGAAAGAAGAAAAAGAACAACAACCGCAAGACAACTGCACTGTCGTTCTTTGTACCTTTTGCATATAATTACTGTGAAAATATCCAAGCTGTGTTCTGACTTTCCCCTCTCACAGCAAATCAGTAAGATAGTGACTTAATTATCCATTCCATTCCACTATCATGAAGGACTCTGGATAGACTTGGCCAACTGATGTTTACAAACCAGAATTTTTGTATTTTCATTTTACAGATTTTACTACATAATTTTTCTAAATTACTAGGTCAGGTTGTAAAAGTCAGTGCAATAACAGAGCTTCCTTTTTAAGCAAATGAAAATTGTTTCTATCACTTTCCCATTAGCTGTGTAAAGAATCACGGACAGAACTTACACTACTTTTTTACCATGTTTTCATCTTGGCATAACATGGTTCTTTTTTAAATAGAAACTTTAGTTTTTTTGTAAATTTTTTAAAAAAAGATCTTTCATTGACGCGCATCTCTGCAGGTCTTCATTCGGGCTGTGAGTTATTGCAGCAAGCAGTCAACATTCCACTAAGGAACAAACATTATACCTCTTCCGACAGTTTTATGAAGTGTGGAGAAAATTGCCAATTTTTAAAAAACTAGTTTTCCAGACTTTTCTGCCAACCTCTTAACTGCGAATTCAGTGCTCCTTTGGGCCACATACTTGGCCTAGTGTGGTTTACCAGTGATGGAAAAGTATTTTGATATCATTACCTTTTTCAAAGATCCAACTTTTTCCTCGGTCTCTGCCTTTGCCATGTTTCAATAGTGGAGGAGTATTCACTCTGTATTTTAATGCAGTGTTGGGTTGACTGTCTTCTGAAAACTCTTAAGGAGCATTATGAATTACAGTGAGTAATTGTATTGCCTGCTTGGTGCCCACTGGTAATGTCATTGTCACGTAGCTTTACATTATCAGTTTGATGTTCCTTTTAAATTGTGGAATTAGATACATGAATAAATGCATACTTTTACCTTTCCTCAGTATCTCCCACTATAAGTATATATTATTTTTTTTAACACAAAAGTATTTAAAGCATTGTTTGACAGAGAATAGAAACTCATGTGTCTGTAGTCCATGGGTTGTATTTTGGCTCAGTGAAGTGGTATTTAACGTGTTATTTTTGGTTTTCTCTGTGTCTTATATTAAGATTGACATATTAGTTGCTTTGTTATGAATCTCTCCTATTGGTATTTTAATACGTGAAACAACCTTGCCTTTAGATCAGATGCTAGGTAATAACTGTGTGCTAGGAATGGACTTGATCAAATCGCGCCCAGTTAGCCTTGTTCAGTTTTTGTACTGATGTGGCTTCAAGGCAAGTTTACTTTACTTTACTTTGAATGTCACTGTTTAGAGTGCTCTGGTCTTGAGGTGTGTGGGGATGAAGAACAGAAGAATTTGCTGATGAATTGTTAAGGGGCAAGGCACCCTGTGATTGCGCCAACCAGACCTCCTCTGTATGCATGATTCTGAACATCTGGATGCCTCTTGGTTTACTGTGTATATTTTATTTCCAATATATTTACTTTGTGTGAATTCATTTAAAGTCTGCTCAAAAGTAACACTGTCAAAACCACTAAAATGTGTGTAAAAAGTTGTGCTGTAGACTAGAATAAAGTTGGTGTTCAGACTCGTCCCAATGCTTGTGAATGGGTCGACTGGGAAAATGAGAGTGCACTTTTTATGCTTTTGCTGCTGTTGTTCACAATATACACAGCAGAGCCAACATCCATTCAGTGTTCCTCTGTGGACAATTCAGTGACACTGATTATGCTCTGAGTTGTACAACTGTTCTCACCCCCTTTTCCTAAGTGTCTCCCCCTTCCAACTATCATAAACTCACTGGCCCCTCCACCTCCCACCTCTAGTCTTTCAAATTGCTGCTGTCAGTTTGATCCCATATAGACACATCTTGAAAGAGCACACTCCTTAAAGTTAACACTTCACTAATTGAGCTAAACTGTGATTGCATTTTACGAAGACATAGGGTTATATATTGGGGATCTTGAGCTCATCTAGCATTTTCAATTAATATACTATTCATTTTAATATCCAGGTGGGAGGAAAAATATTCTGTATTATATATACCTTTCTAGTTGTGAGTCTTGTTAATAATTGAAACAACAGAATCCAACCCTGACCCTCCTCCATGAAGTTGAATCTAGCTCCAGCAATGGTAGGACAACAATAGGACCCCCCTATAGGGTTTCCAAATCAGTCCATGGGAGCAGGCTGCCTGATTGCTCTCCCAGAGCAGCTGGTGCTTCAAACTGCCAACCTTCTGGTCAGCAAACACTTAACCTTCTCTATCACCAATCCAGACCTTAAATCAATATCCATTTTCAGTTGAAAATATGCTATTTGGTGTCTAAGGAGTACATTCTGTAGATACATCTTGAGCAAGAAAAGCCTTTTGGTTTAGCTTACAAGATGTGCTGGAGGATCCAGATTACATACAAGCTAGTTTATCTGTAAGCACTTGGGGCCTAGTGTCCTTTGGGCCATGTCGTAGCCCTGATGAGTGACTGTTGGACACCGTCTTCCTTTTTCTGCAGTGCAGGAAGCAGAGGGTTAGAGAGATTTGCTGCATCATTCTGAGAGCTAGAGCAAGAACCAGCTGTTCCCTTCTCCATACTGTTGCTTTTCCAGAGACAGGTGGGAGGTGAACTGCAAATCCATCAGCCATAGCCATGGCAGAGAAAATACTACCCAGAGTTCAGAGCCTCATTTCAAGGGTTATCTTGAGGCTTTATTATTCCTGAGAATTCCAGTAGGGTGATCTTATGATTTCAAGAGCACTCATGTCCCGCTGTGCCGTCAGCTCCCTGATCAATATCTCCAGCCAGACTGACTTTATTATGTATTTATTAATCAGGCCCAGACATTCCTAATTAACTGTCCAAATGCTCCAGGCACTGCCACTCCACCTGTCCCAAATAATTTATTGTCTTTCCTCCATCAAGTCCATCTCCCCTGAATCTCCTATTTCCTTAATGACATGGCCACAGTCATCCTTCGTTTCTTTTCCCTCACCTTCCCCGTTGCACCAGTCCTCAAAACTCCCTGGTGTGGTTTCTCACTTCTGTTCCGCTTGCCAGATAGGTCGTCATTAAAGGCTTGGTTAATAACACTCCAACTGCTGCAGTCCCGGGCTGATCTATGTATCCCTGCTGCTGAAGAGACACGAGGAAGGGAAGCTCCCTCCTAAGAGCTTCTTCCTGCACTGCTTTCACCGTTGTGTGCCTGCAAATAAAATCCAAGCCTGTCTCTTTCCTACTTCAAAATGTCCATCAACTATTTGCCTTTCCGACAAAGGGCCGACAGATGCCCTAGCATTGATACTTCACAAGCTGACACCTCCTGACCCTCTCTGCACCTGAACCCCATGGCACAGTGTTTTGTTGTTGTGTACCATTGAATCGGAAGTGGCCCATAGTTAACCCTCCAGTGAGTTTTCAGAGGCAGTTAATGCACAGGAGATTGCTCATCTTTCTCTGGAAGAGCAGCTGGTGGATTTGAACCATGTACCATCAGGATTGCAGCACAGCTTCTGCCACTAGGCCACCAGATTTCCCATGACACACCAGCCATGTGCATTGTATTGCCATCTCCCACCACACCATGCCCTGCTGCTCTAGACTTGGAATACCCTCCTGTTTCAGATGCTACTCCTCTGTGCCATTGACCTTGGCCCCTTTAAGGATTGTTATTGACTCTGCCCTTGGGCTCTACAAGACTACTCTTAATTCCTCCCCAGCCCTTGTCATAATGAATTATGTCTTTGCTTGCTTGTCTGCTCTCCTTGTCATGTCAGGGGCTGATTCTCATCCAGCTCTGTCTTCAGCCCCTAGCAGCCCTGGGTCCCAGGACAAGGCAAGAGTAAGGACAATTACTTTTGAGTTAAAGGAGAGTGAGGCATGGTGTGGGTTGGAGAGTGGTGATGACGAGGACTTTTAGACTTTTGTTTTAGGACAGAACTTTTGTTTTTGTGCATCATAAGCATCAAGGCCAGCTCTTCCTAACTGGGACCTGTTTCTCCGCTCCCTTGACCTTCAGCATTTCTTGGCTTTAGCGATTTCCCTGACAGGATTAGCTGGAACACGCATAGCAACCACAGAGAAATTGATAAGACATTGGTGTGTATTATTATTAGACAAAAAAACATTTGGCCTCTGAAACTCCACGTGTTTCACAGTAGAATTGTGTTCATTGATTTTTCAGAGGTAGAATTCAGGTCTGTCTTCCGCGTTGCCTGTGGGTGAACTCAAGCCTCCAGCCTGTAAGTTGGCAGCTTAACTTGTACCACAGAGGGACTCCAGTTATTAGACAGTGAGTGGGTGAACTCAAACCTCCAGCCTGTAAGTTGGAAGCTTAACTTGTACCACAGAGGGACTCCAGCTATTAGACAGTGAGTCCTAAATAAGGAAAAGTCTGAGTCCGATATACTAAAGCTTCTGTTGAACTAACGCTCAGAAATTCACATGTCTAGAAAATTCTTTTCCTTGTACTATATTACTCTGTTCCTTTCCCTGAATATAATAATAAAAGAAAATGACCCAGGTCTACAACCTTCTGGCTTTATGGCAGATGATACTTAAAAAGGAAATCTTAATATAATTTTCAGTTTATCATCTATTTTTATCTTAAATACAATACAACTGTATAAAACTCTTTAGAAAACAGAGACCTAAAAATTGCCTGTCCATCTGAATGCCAATTTAATGTTCTGTATTTCTTTTGAATCCTTTTTTCTATTTACGGAATTTATTTTCCACAATTATAAATACAACATAAATAAATCTATCTACTATTTTCCCCACATTGTGATACAATGATTAAGATAATAAATATAATATAATATAATATAATATAATATAATATAATATAATATAATATACATTATTTTTTTCCCT